CGTGACCAGTTTTAAAACTATATAGAAATAAATCACGAGACCTATGTGAAACTATGTACTTAGGAACCTAACTGTTTACAGTAAACTTTGAATACATCTTCATGGGAAGTTTCAAAATACTTTTAACGATTTAAAACGAGAAATATAACACTTTAATGGTTTAAAACGCGATATATATTAGTTGCCGCAGCCGTGGTCACGAGAAGACTGCTGCTGCCAAGGATCGGAAACGTCGGCCCGTAGTTAAAATAATTTTCAAATAGGTTTAAACAATATATATCGTTTAAACCGTTTTTTTAATTAAAGTGTTTTATTTAAATATTTACGTGTATTATTATATTATGGCTCCCCCAGGGGTTTTGGGAACAAAAAAAAAAAGGGAGAAAAAAAAAAAAAAATTTTTGTTTAAAACCGTTGTTCACAACAACGGTTCAATCGCGTTATCATAAAACTTCAAAAAACAATATTAATAAAAGTGAAATCTCGTTCCCCCCTGGGTGGGGCGTATCTGTGTCTGTTTCACGGATCGTTTTTTCGGGCCAGTAGTTGCTGAGACTTCTGTGCCCTGGTCGACCGAAACAATCTATTGTTTGCCCGGGATTTGAAACCAGGTCCGGTCGCGCTTAACGCAATGCTACGCAACACAGAGAGGCTAGAAAGGCGGCAAATTAGCAGTTTGTCGCCAGTATTCTTAACATCATACAAAATGCTCATTTTATACTATGATCGCAAATGGATGATAAGTATATGATCGGAAATCGGACACTTAGAACATATCAAAAAGAGTAGTTAACGCGAGTAGTGCACATATAAATAAAACATTTAACGGTTTGAAACGGGAAATGTATTAGTTAAACTTATTTAAAAATTGATCACTGGTTATTTACAAATTACTCCCCGTGACCACGGCTGCTGCTAAGCATTCAAAGGTCGAGCCGTAGGTAAAATAATTTTTAAATAAGTCGAACTATTACATTTCGCGTTTTAAACCGTTGATTGGTTCATTTAAACATATCAAAGTTTGACAACTTTATTATTTTTGACATGTTATTACACACACACGATTGGCACTATTTAAATATAAAACCGAATATAATAATAATAATAAAAAATCGACGACGACGTGTAGGGCTCGGTAGCTCAACTGGTTAGAGCAACAGCACGGAACGTTGACGATGCCAGTTCAAGATCTGCGCGAGCCGTAATTTTTTTCAATTTATTATCGTTTTTTGAATCGTAATAAAATTACTAACCAAACTCTGTATTCCAATAGATATGAAGTTTTAAATATCACAAACATTCCCAGATATGAGTTCACACCTGATGGCCTAACACGTTACGTTATCAGCATGGTACCGAGAAAACTGACAGACCACGTAAGAGCCGAGCCCTAATTTGACCGCTCATTGTTAAGGGAAATCTACTTAGCGTAATTAATCAACTAACAGGTATTTACGTATATTAAAAAATTAACTGCACATAGAAACTAACTGTCGTAGGTTTTACATATGTTAAAGCCGAAAGAATTATTTATTGATTTCGTCTATCCATCAATGTATGTTTCATTATATCGGTTCTATTTAACCAATTTTTATATAGGAAGGTCTAAAGGCCTGTCCAAATAGCATAGTAGACATGGCACATATTAAGATTTTCTTTTAAATTAATATATTGTTATATATCTTTAGTTTATTTTTGAATTGTAAATGTGATTGTATGTCTTGTAGTGGTTGTGAATAAAGTTATTCTTCTTCGTCTTCTATATTTATTAAATTAAAAACTTCTTTAAAATGTGTTTACGTATAGTGACTCGTTCTGATTATTGATTCGAAAATAATTGCTCCTAAACATATTCACGTTAATAATAAGCAATTAAAAATTTTATATTTAAAATTACTCGGTAATAACGATAAATCTAATGTAGTAATTTAAGAGACATGATCACCAGACAATGTTACGCTCGTCCTATACCCAAGAAAGAAAATACTGTTTAGCACTAGCTTCTATACTTCTTCTTCTCATGCCTCTCCATTACTGAAGGTTGGCCGTTAGCTTTTAAAAGTGACTGGTGCCCTTTGCGAGATGTAGCAATGCTTCAACCGTTTCTATACTTGAAGAGTTATAATTATATCAATAAATTAAGATTACTAATGTGACGTGTTATCGATGTATGTACGAGCTAGTACATTTCTCACATTTTTTTTACCTTCCAAGAAAATCTAATCGGTTTATGTTGTATAGCCTAAAGCCTTCTTCAATAAATAGTCCCATAAAATTTTCAATAAGAATCAGTAGTTCGTGAGATTAGCCCGTTCAAACAAACAAAATCTACAGCTAATAATATTAGTATATATAACATATCGCATATACCCATTTGTACATATGTCATAGTCTAAAAATTCATGTCAGTTAATCTTGGCCCACGTATATATAACACATAATATGTGCACATGTACTTTTATAAAATTATTACTAAATATATAGGTAAGTGCAAATTAGGTAGGGCGTGCGAAATGTTACAACACGCAACTGTCACTAAGACGCTAATTAACATTGTTGCTTTCAAACTCACATCGTTCTTTGTGATTATTTGTCGCGTTTCAACTATGAAACTTTTAACAAATATTTTGTAACGCGTTATAACTAATGAAGACCGTGACACAAAAAATAAGACGTGGGCGAAGACGATTTATTGATATTTGAGTGACAAAGACTAAATACAAACTTGTGTTGTATTGCCCATATATTTTCAATAATGTGAACTCTTGATAACGGCTGAACCTATAAAAATATAAAAATAATAACAGTACAAGTAGCGAGAAAGTACACCTATTCCTTAATAAGCATTTTAAAAAACATAAATTAAGAAACTGGCTGACGATAAAGTCTGTCAACATATAAAGGTCAGAAGATAAAAATACAGATTCAAAATTCAAACATTGAAAGTGAACCTTCAATTTTGAAACCTTCATGGGTATCACTACTAAAGTATCTTAATTTGTGAAAGAAATCAATAAAGAACAAAGGAAACGCGGCAATGGGAGGTTCCTATTTCCTTAATAGTTATACATATATCATGTAGCGGGAAGGCGAACCTTCCGAAGAATATTTACTCAGTGAGGGGTTCTATAGTTTATAAAAGCTATGAAAAACTGACTTTCGATAAGCTGTTCAGTCTTGTGCTAACAGGTAAGAAATGGCTTGTTTGGCATATATCTATTTTTAAGAGAGCCTTATTTCTTCCGGAACTCTTAGTTGTTAGTTTCGCACTTCTTGCAGATTGTCTAGTTTAATTATAAGGTTTCTATCTACGCGGGTTGCCTGGAAGTGATTGCTTATAGCGATAAGGCCGCTCGGGTCACTCTATAATTTTAAAATTTTATTGTGTATCTGTAAACAAAGTGTGAAATAAATTATCTGCAATTAGATATGGGTTTTTAAAGGTAACTAATCTAAGTTATAAGGCTCCAGACTTTTGTAATTCTATTGTAACAAAAACATTGATTTTTACACTGTACACAAGTCGTACACAGAATAATAATAATTCATTCTATTAGTTCATTCACATTACCAGTCACATTTACCGAACTCTAAAAACATTTATTTTTAATTCAATTACGGACGTTTGTAGTGATGAAATCACAAACGCACCTATCGGCATCAGATAATGTAAGTCAGTAGTAAAAAGCTGTAATTCAATTGAAACTCCCATTGAATCAAAGCTAATGACAAAATAAACGAGATTTATGCCACAAAACCTCATTTTAGCTCAATGTGTGCTCGCTTTATTTTCGGCATCGTAAATTTAACATGTCTTATAGGTCAAGAGCGTAAAACTCTGTCGATTGCGTACCTTTATAGACTGTACCTATTTCTTCAAACATACGGGAATTCAAAATCTACAGGATACCTGTGCTATGTGGGTACTGTACAAGTCTAATTATTATAATTGACATATTTGAGATATACTTATTCTTATCTATAATTTAAAATAATGTATCTAATAAAGAACTAGCTGTAACGGTTAGCAAAACATTAAGTAAATACAAATATATCACAAGTCTCGTTCCGATTATTCTCGATAAATTAATTGTGTTAGATGTTTCTGTACATAATTATAAGTATAATAAATTGGCTTTAGCCAGTATTTCTTGAATTTATAGAACAATAAACTTCAATAAACATTCTGTAGGAGAATATAAATGACGAAAAAATAATATCTTTCAATAATTAAATAATTTAGATTTCGCGAACGATGGATTTCGTACTATTAACTAGTCCAAATAACAGACCTCTAGATTTATTTTGATCATGCAAGGGTTTTTTTAACAAACAACGCCATTCTGGACCAATTTCTAAACATAAAATAACAATCCTCCACCTATCCCGTTTCGTGAGTCCCTTTGGGTATCGAAGCTCAAATATAATTTCAGTAAGAGCGCTTCGAAACATTTTCTGTCAAAACCAGTCTACGAACTATTTACTTCGGCTCAAGGGCGTCCTTAATATCTCATAAACAGCGATACGATTAGGCTAACCGACGCTTTTATCTGGCACCCCGTTTATTTGGATTAAAAAAAATTGTTTACGATAAACCGAGAATTACGAGCTTATAAAATTTTAACGTCGATGGAAATGTTTTCATAAAAATTGACGTGTAGTGCCGTTGAAAATTTCACTGCTGTGTTTTTACGAATCTATTAAATTATGATAATATTTATATAATGTTTTTATTTTTGACGATATCATTGAAGAAATGTATAATATTTAGTTTTAATGTTATAATTTTTCATTACGGCAGGCTAAATTATGAGAACATGTTATTGGAATTTTTAATTTCCACATTTTAGATTATTATTATAAGTTAATCAATACCGGTTAAATTACGGTAATGGTCTAAGATGCCAAATCCGTTTTCGCACGATATAATAAATCAAATTTCAATCACGTGAGACCCTATATTTATAAATAATAAAGCAGACAAATAAAAAAGTACTCACTCGTCGGCCGGAACTTGGACACGTCCGTCCCGCATTTCTCTCTGTTGTACAGAAGCTTCTTGCAAACACGCCATGGCCCAAAGTAGCCGTTGTCGAAGTTAGGGTTTTCCACTAGAAAAAGAAAAAGATCAAGGTAATAATCTTAATTTTACATACATCTTAATATTAGGAAATCATAACATGAATTTAAAATAAAACTAACTAAACTTATAATAAGCAATTTACAACGGCGTATTTTTAAAATGATCTGTAATTTTCAGGATGCACAAGACTATTTTTACAACCGATATACCTGGTTGTAAGGATGGAGGCGATCCATAATTAGATGGATAACGAGCATATAATTTTAATAAAGACTTTAAATTAATAAGAGTTGTTGTCTTTCAAACTATCGTTGCCTAATACGATACAGAATATAAAGTTTAAATCAGGTGCTCCGAGACACGGCTTTTATACTGTAGAAATAAATAGCAGGAGTGAACAGTGATAATCCTAGCTTTAGTGCTCCTAGACAATTAAGCTAAGTAATTGATTAAAGGATTTTAATTAAATGGCTTCTTACGACGACACTAGGAAAACTTACTATTAAACGAAGCATAGGATTTTCATAATCACAGGATCACAATAATATAAATGCAAACATACAAGTCTCAGGGATATTAAGGAATTCATATTCCAAATTACTTTATTATTTTGGGACAAGATTAAGTATCACTTCAAAGTTAAACTATTCTATTTAAACCTATTGTAATCGTTCGTTAAATTTAGTAAGGAGAATTGTATCTGATTTTGTATACTATGTTTAAGTTCTGAAGAGACGTCATGTAAAACATTATTATTTATTTCCATGCAAATTCTGTTTTAGTGTATCCGGGTTCAATTTCAATTTCTCACGAAAGCAGAATATAATAAACGTTTTATAATCTCCATTCTTAAACGGAATAAAATGAAATTTCTGAGGTACAACGATGAGTAATATCTCAATAAAGTGGAAATTAATTATTTCTTCATTAAGAATTCTAATTAAGTTAAACACGAAAGATGGCGAATAAGAAGTATGCAGTTAACGAGAACCTAATTAGTTTTTGAATTACAAATTGACTGTGAATTAAGAGTCCGTTTTAGGTACTAGTGGCACTGTTAATGAAATTAATTTAATGATTTCATTACCACAAGTATAAGCTTACTTGGATAACTCACGTTACATTAATTATATTTTCATTGAGATACCTAATGTGAAATCTAAATTAAGTATCGTCTCAACGGCCACAGCGAAGCACGTAGGATCGCAAAAGAAGACTAATATTGATCGAGTTTCAAAATGTTATGGAAGTTTTATTGTAGAAAGAAAATACTGATCCGTGAAGCTCGGTATAGCTAAGCTACTTAATTTTATTTAGCGTTCGATAAAAATAATATTAAACAATTTTTTTGACGCGGAACACTCGATCAATAAATGATAAGACTAACGAAAGTTATGGACTTTGTAATGTGATATAGTGAGATGTGGAAAAACATTTTTACTTTTCTACAGAACTTGACGGGCTCGATCGTCTAATCGCTAGACATTTATCGGGTCGTAAGTTCGAACAATTTAAAATATTGCTGAAACATATTGGACTTTGGAAATCTGGACATGAAATCTCTTTATTTGGCAAGATTATCGTTATTCCGTCTGGATCGCAGTACTTGCTTTGCAAAAGCCATGGACTTTAATCTCGTTTCGGTTTCAGTCTGTTAATATCCGAAATTGAAAGCCAAAATAGGTCGTGTGCGCATCTTGTTGAAATGGCTAGGGTATTAAATTCAACCAAGTGAACGAATAGCCTTTGATCATTACGAGACTTAACAGCGGCAAAAGCTAAGCAAACTAGGAAATAACGAGTTGAAACTAATACTACTAATTACAGCTGACACGTGAAGGGACGAGTGTTACATTTGCACCTCATTAACTCTTGAGTCACGTGTCAATTGTCCGACCTTGCAGTCAATTGTTTCTCCAGCTTTCTTACTCATATCGCTTTTAATTGGCCCATTCAATGCGCCGGCTAGATCCTAAGATATCTATTCAAGCGCCGGTGAGTGTAGAGCTGGTGTACATAATGATAGGCGTATTTCCGTTCAATTATCTGTGGCTTAGTTCAGAATATAAAGGCGGAGAAATTAGTTAACAGGCTCTGTATTAGTGAAAATTTTTGATTAAGTATTGTATTACTACTTTAATCGGTTGTGATGTTTATCGGTTTACACAGTTACGCTTAGCTGCATTATTTGTGTTTTGACAAATGGGAACGGCTTAAAATATCGTATGCTTCATCTGGTTTAAAACTACTCCCTACTATAGTTTAGTTACACCAGCTCAGCCGTTCTTGAGTCTAAGACAATAATATTATGTTTTATATACATATATTTGTTCGTGGCGATTAGATACTACCTTTTAAGACTAGATTTTTTTATTTAGATTAATTACGACAGATATAATGAAAGTAAAGCAAATGTAAAATAACTTTACTACTAATTTTACGGCACGTGGTAAAAACTCATGGCTATACGATACTCTTGTTTAATGTTTGGATACTAGGCTTAATAAATATACTTAAATGTTCGTAAAAATATAAATTATTTAATGCATTTTTAAGCAAAATAGCGAAACAAATTTGGATACAGTAGCTGAAAATGCAATATACGATAAGGACTATCTAGAAGGTAAGATATTTAAACAGAGTGGTCTAATTGAGATGTTAGTCATGCATCGAGATCTTACGATGCACAAGACGTAAATGTACACAAATCAATCCTGCGTTGAGCAAATATTAATGAAATACTGTCTATAGTTGACGCGAGTAGTACACACTTAAATAAAACACTTTAACTTAAAACGCGATATATTAGTTAAACTTATTTGAAAATGATTTTTAGCTGTTAAAATTTTTAACTAATATATCGCGATTTAAACCGTTAAAGTGTTTTATTTAAATATTAATGATTCATTTGAATCAACAATGACACATAGATCTTTACACCTTCTGCATTTGGATTGCAAACAAAACCTGTAGTAAGGTAAGTGAACTTTCGAAAATATGTATGACTTCGCCAAACTTTTTATGTAACAAGATGTAAATGAGCTGAGCTTGATAAGAATACATTATCAAAAGGTGTTCGGGGATTCATTTCTAGATTGTTGTGTTGAGGTTTTAATCTATAAGTATTGCTTTATGATTCGAATTAAGTAGGTACATGAACGTACATAGACACTATAGAAGTATATTATTGCGTTGAAAGTAAAATTTATAATCTAAAGTAGGTATTATTTATAAATAAGTACCTAATTATTGGACATTTATTTAGATTACATTTTTATTAAAATAAATTACTGTAACGGTTTAAAACGCCATATATATTAGTTAAACTAATATATTTCGCATTTTAAGCCAATTGTATTTTATTTAAATGTGTCGGTACTACTCGCGCAAACTACAAACAGCATTTGGATTTTTGTTGTAATTTTATTAAGTAGGTATAGGTGTTTTTCATGTCGCCGACGAACTTACAATACCTATATAAAAAAAGCGTTTACATTGAACGAAAAAATAATTAAACTTAGTAGTATTGATCCATGAAAAAAAGCAAACAAAACTTTGAATAATTCAAAATCTTATATGACTCAACTCATTATCCCCACAGGTGGACTAACCACTGAGGAGCTCTACAGTGATTCCAGCAAAGGCCAATACCAGAAAACGGACTATAAACATAATACAGATCCAGTACCACTTTTCCTTGACTACGTAATAGAGCATACTATCAAGCACCTAAAAACAGAGAAAAGTCCAGGACCCGATGGCATCACGAACGACTTGCTTTTGGCAAGGCGAATCAACGTCCTTACAAAACCATTAGCATTCTTATTCAATCTCATTTTACAAGAAATTGCAATACCGCACCAGTGGACTCAGTCACACATAACATTAATATACAAAAAGGGAGATCCCAAACAAATTAATAACTATAGACCTATAAGTCTTACACCGTGTGTCTATAAAGTGTTTGCGACAACTCTACTGAGAAGAATTAAGCCTATTATAGACGGAATGCAATCGGTCAAGCAGATTTTATAAAAATCTTCTCTACAGTTGATCACATTCATACAACAAAATAAATCGTAGAGAAGTATGTAGAGTTTGGAAAACCCTTATATCTCTGTTTTATCGACTATTCCAAGGCATTTGATTCCATTTTTCACGACTTTATCTGGGAATCGCTATCACTACAGTGGGTAAACGAGGGATATACAAAAATTATAAAAGAAATTTATAAATAAAGTACCGCGAGAATCAAACTCGATACAATAGAATTCAAGATTCAAAGAGGCGTATAACGGGGATCCCCTCTCTACAAAACTATTTATTTCGACTCTGGAAAACATCTTTAGAAAACTAGATTGGGATAGTAAGGGCTTAAATATTAACGGAAGACATATTCACCGCCTCAGGTTTGCGGATGACATAATAATTTTCTCAGAAAACTTACTCGAACTCGAACATATGATTGACTCGCTAAACAAGGAAAGCAAAGGGATTTGGATTCACGTGATTGGAGATGACTACGTCCCCACATTTAAAAGCTATATGTTAGTTTTTGTTTGAATTTAAAAAAATACCGCAAACAAAAGACAGACAAGGATATAGCAAGAATATGGTATATACACTAATGTCTCGATAAAATTCAACTTGTGATTGTTCTCGAGGCGATAGTCATTATGAAGAAAAAATCTACTCTAAGTCGAGAACAAGAATATGACATTACATGGTTTTGTTCTACCAAATGAGCTATATATACCTATATATTGAAAATTGTTATATTTCAAACTACCTACACGGCGCGATAGGTATGTAAAAATCTATGATCAGAGTCGCATCGGTTTCGGGTTCCGCCATAGTAATATCTATTTTTTAACGTTTCCTTGTTATAAAGATTAATGTCGAGAAAAAATATATTGTTATGCTTTTATCAATTCATATAATCCAGTGGGCTCTTTGCTTTAACATTTCGTGTTCGTGACGACCTGCAAACGTCACTCCATTAGAACAATAACTCGTAAAGTGCAAGGCGTTTATTTTAACGATTCCACAGAGTAACCGATAGCCTACATAGAAGCTAGACTTGCATTATGAAACTAAACTTCACAGCGTACAATTAATATTTACTCGGCAATCCCTATGTAGGTAATCAATTCTATTGATCCGATAACGTAAGCTCAGGTACTAAATATTTGATTTATTTTTCACATCGGAAATTGCCAGCCAGTATTTCTTAAGAAAACACGCCATGGACATCAAATTTAATGGGAAGATGCATTTATATATTTTATTGACAGGAACACTTTTATAATTTCCGGGTAAAGTAGGTGTTTTGAGCTATTAACGCATTAGCTAAATAATAAACATGTTGTTTATAATTATCTGAAAAGGATATTTGAAGTCTGGAAAAAATCAGAAGAAAATTTTGGAACATAAATGACACGAAAATATTTAACTTCTATTCTGCTATGCAAACTTATAAGAAAGCTAAAGAAAGGAGGGTAGTTAAATATAAATCTTTACAAAACGAAACAAACTTTGATTAATAAATGTCGGTACAACAAAATTTGTAATCATAGCATTCAAACTACATTATTCTTCACGGACCGCTTAACACTAAAAGCAATTATCTACGATCAATGATTGCGGACAATTATTTAAAATAACCCGGCGCCTCATTTAGCATTGTAACATTGATCTGTCTTTTTTGTCCTTTGAATACTAAATGTTGAACAAAAGCTGACAAAAACTGTTTTGCCAAGACATGAGCCGAGGTCGTTGGCTGTCAGTCACAGAGTGGCATCGTCATGCTGCAATACTCCAAGACAGGGCCGGATTTTGAAGTGTAGGGAAATGTAATTAAGAGGCCACGAAACTTAATCGATTCTGTGAAAAGAAAGCGAGCTCTTTAAAATGTAAGCAAATTAAAATAAAGAAAATAACGTTTCTAACACTAACCATAAACGGCAATAATGAATTATTAACAACGAAATTAATTCTAGGCGTTGTCTAGCTTTCCTAACTCCTTAAAATTTGGAAGTGGCATGCTTCTATGCATAGAAGCAAAACCAACTATTTACAACATTTTGTTGGGCTGCTTAGTTGTTATATTTCTTTTCACATCCCAATTTATTAGAAAGACCTTTAAACTGTATCGAGTGCGTCTCTGCCTCCATCGCGTTGTAGTACAGTACCAAAACAACAGTTAGTCTATTGTTACATATCAAACAAATCATAAACTAAGCGTTGGCCAGTTGGTTGTATTGGAGAAGCAAAACTTCCGTTATCAGCGATTGTTAATTCGGTAGAATCGCCGTATTATTAAAGAGAACATTGATTGGAATCGATAAACTTTCACTATTTTATCACAAAATTGCTACAAACATTTCACAAGATTAAACAGAACTTCCCCTCAAAACTATCAAGCAAGGTTCTTTTCACAAGTGGTGAATTAGATACACATTTATGACACACAGTGTATTGCCGGTTAAATTTACAATTATATATATATCTATACATCGTTTGGTCCATACATAAGGCATAGTTCTTTATCCCTGTGTGATCTGTGGAAACAACTCTACTCTATGAAAGGTTCTCTATGGTTTGTAATCGGCCATATATGTTGTGGTCTTTTGCTATGTTACAAAAAATACATTATCCTGTTTAAACGTCCTAATAGATAAACACATTTCTCTGTGATTCGAACCCAGGATCTCCTACCAATGTAATGCAACAGGTTTACAACTTCTCAGTGGCGAATTTTTTCTTGAAAATATGAAATTTGACAAATACATATATTGGTATAATACAATAAACATATTTACATTAACCCATGTCTGTGCTATTAGCACTAGTATGGGTGACGTAAGCGCAAAGCAATTTTGCGTAAATAAAAAAACGCGCTGAGCGAAGTTTTTGTAGTAACGTAACATCTTTGATACAGAACAATCCTCTTTTTATCGAGGTTTTAACGGTTAAACATTTCTTCAAAACCTGTTTCCGAGCGCAAGATTTCGATGCAAATGACTGGCGTACGATGTATTAATAAACTTTGGGAACTAGAACGTTCAAGTTCATGTGACCTTAGTTTCTTAAACACACACAGTATTATCCTGTGCCCTCATTAAACATGGAATTTTGCGTTTCTCAGTAATGCTATGTTGATTGTTCGACCTAGATATACGAAAGAAGCAAATATTATTAACGAATATTCTAATTGGACAATTGATTAAACGTTCCCGTTACTAAAACGTCACGTTATTAAAAATTCACGAGGTATATTTGAATCTACCAATCTTTATCCTTTTGTTTATGCGTTAAATTTAGATATAATAATCGCACCATCAAAATTATCTGGTTTTATGCATCAAGTATGGTCATGTAATCCCTTTGACTTTACTTAAATACTAACATAACATCCAAACTTTAATGGTTATATCTTTAGCACTGGCATTTGTCTATGCGTGTTTACTGACAAATTAATGCATAAGGTAGTTTGTGGGGTTAGACCATGAGCTATGCCTATAAAAATATTTTACGTGTTACCTTATACCTACCACCACATACCATATTTCGGTGTTTTTATTTAAAGGTTCCTTGCCCAAACCTCTCGTGTTAGATCGACTAATATCGCGACAAAAAATCGTAGCTCGCTAACATATTGATTTACAGCATGCTAAATATTTTATCGCATCACCCAGAGTTGTTACGTAGGTGGCAAATTAATGGCATGTCAATATTACAAGTTAGAAAAGACGATAATGTAAGTGGACGATAGTCAACTGGTATGATAGAAATTACACCATTAGTGACTTGGAAACTCTCTCTGGGCAAGTTTCTTTTCGGTTTCCTTGACAACGCACCATTTGGATATACTATCTATTTATTATGTTAAATCAGAAGGAACGATGGTAAATCAGAATTGTTAACAATCGATACAGTTACAAGCAACACGACAAAATTGTTCTATAGTTATTTATTACTAAAGGTTTAGCTTGACTGATTTCACATATAACCAGCGCTACTATCTGTTATTCCTGTGTATATAAATACATACATATACGAGTATATTCCAACACTGTCGATAATAACTTTATCTGTCCGTTTGTCTATGGAACTACTTCATAATTTCATAGATTCACATTGTTTAGGTAACCTAGTCATTAGGTACTCAATAAAAAAGCATTCAATTCGTCGGGGTCAAAAAATAAGTTAAGGAAGATATTTCGCGTTGAAAGTCCTTAAAATTGTTTTTTAAGCAGAGTACTGCCGCATGGTAGAGCTAGTATTATATAAAAATCCGTATTTTAATATATCACCAAAGTTGAACGTACGGTATCTAAAGGCGATATAAGCGCAACACGTCTGCGGTCTGAGGTACATCTACAAGTTTTGTGACAAAGGTCTCGGGGTCGACGACCCGTTTGGCGGGCCAACATTTTATAATGCACCATGGGGCTTGGGCGTAAGAGCACGTTTAAAAATGCCAAAAAACGCAAACAAATTTGTTCAAAGGCCCCTTGAGTTACGTAGTTTTTATAGCAAGTTCGCGGTATAAGGTAGATTGAACCTTAACTAAGTGTGTGTATTTCTTATAGACTTTGTGGATGGTGACAGTGACCCGAAGGGAATTTAGGCAATAGAGATTTTTCAGTTTTGCAGATAAAAGATAAAATCACAACCTATAAGATTATTAGTAGCTTACTACCATAGGACTAACGAGCCTGTATTATTGTGTGTTTGTTGAATACTTTAGTTCAACAAAGACATTTCTATGAAGCTTCACTACGAATTATTAATTTGGAGTACTATACGAGTTGGAAAGATTCAATCGACGCACGTCTTAACGTTTATAATGAAAAAAGAGCGAACTATTTCCCGTTAATCTCGAGGGCTTTAGAAAGGAAAAAGCGAGACAATACAAGATAGCAGATTCCGTTTGCCCTACTTTGCCCGTAACTTCCGTCGGCAAATACGGTTTTTTCTTAAGATTGAGAATAGATAAGAAAAACTATAAATAGTGTGTTCAAAATGTAAACTTTGAACATTGTTAAAGCTGAAATTGTTGTTTAACTATAAAAGAAAGACACGAGAAAGAAGGCAAGAACAATGACATCACAATATTTGGATATTAAATAGCGTTTTTTCTAAGGTTCCAAAGAAAGTAAAGCCTCGCGTCCCCTACGCGTGTTAAGGGGCAGTCATATTTCGGCGTCTGTAACACGTACTTACAGACAAGGAATTGTTTAAATTTGTATGCCATGCCCGAAAAAAGAAATTCTAAAAGCAATAGAAAAAGGGGTGTGATTCTGTTAGTTATAGTTATAACATGCACATAACATATTTTTATACAAAGAAAATTTAGTAATTCCAGAGAAATAAGTATGCCTTTGATTGATAAAAATGTACTCACAATAATAAGACTGCAGGGAGAGTGCTATGTCAGAATCATCTGAAAGAATTAGTCAAGCTTTTGTTATAAGAAAGAAAAAGAAAAAACCATTAGAGTAATGAAGTGTATATCAAAAAGGTACTAAATATCTTCATTGACATAATAAATAGGACTTTCTTAAAATAGCTTAAGACTTTACTATTACCATTAAAAAAGATTATTTTATGTCATAAGAATAGGTAAAAGTAAAATCTAAACTTATTATAATAATTACCTACAGAGGGCACAACTTGAAGGTAGTCAGTTAATATTGTAGCTATATCCCCATTGAAACATAATTTTAAGAATTTTTTTACAATTCATAAACCTTTTAACAAATGCACAAAGTTTTGCCTAATTTATTATTAAAACTGGACTTCTTGTGTAAGCTCACATACAGACATTACTTGATAGTCAAATGATAATATATGACATGTTTGTTGAATCAACAGTGCTATAGTATTGTTTTTGTATGATTTGTATTTATCTTAAATGTTAAAAAGGAACTAAATGCTTGTAGGTGCTGTACTCGCCTATAACCTAACTGTTAGGTGCCATAAATTTTGCTAAACTATCTACTTTATTAAATTAACATCAACAACAGAATACTTACAACTATAAAAGTAACCCCAATTAGGTAGTCCAACAGCTACTGCCCCAACAACGAAGCACATAAAACCCAGTATAACGACAGCTAGTGAATACAGTGTTTTGCCTCTGGCCATGACTGCATGTCTCAGTCAAACTCATAGAACCTTCTAGAGGACATCAGGAATTGTTCTGGTTGCTTTGATAAATGGTTAACCTCATCTGTAGAAAAAAAAACATTTTTTTATTATCTCGGGAATCAATAAATTGTTTTGTAGGTTGGCAAAATAGTAGTATATTTAAACAATTGGTTGTAAAAACAATTGATGAGTGATACAAAAAAAGAAACTGAATTTCACAATGATAAAAAGAGGAGGTAGTTTTCTTTTAATTAAGCTGATGACATTATTTACCATGATAAAAAAATATTATCACATAGGGATATTATGGGTTGCAGGAACAAAGTAATTCTAAGCACTAAGTAAAATAATTTCTCCAAACATTTAACATAATCTGTAGTTGTGACTAACATTCCAATAAGAAAATACTTCAACTTAAAACCCATTGAAATTTACGGTATAAATTCAAAATATTTATTCGAGCGTGCATTGTGCACCAACTTGGAATAGATTACAGTTATTTAAATGTTACTTTTACTCACGTTTGCCGCATTCACTGTAGAATCACACGCTGTTCACTCAACTATGCGACACAAATTTATTAATATTTTTTTTCAACAGATAGTAACACTACACCTTTTTCACGCGAATGCACAACGTTAATATGATGGTATTACAATGCGTTTTCAAATTTAAACGACACACCTTGAAATACCGCTACTAAAATCAAGCTTAACAAACAAGCATTACGGTATGAAAACTAGTCTTGTAATTTGCAACTGTTCACTTTGCTGACACGAAACACTAGCGATAATTATACAATACGATCCCTACGTTACGGACAATGATTTACGAAAAACAATAGACTTCGCAAGTCGTTACGACTAACAACTTAAGTTAACAACCAACAGAGTCCTATTCCCGAGATGTGACAGCCTTAACAACTTTGTGAAAACTGAAATTAAAATTTAGAATCTGCCTAACGATCACTGTCAATGGCAAGCCTGAGGTTGTTACATGTCAATTGGAGAAATGTCAGTTTTCATAGTGTCTGAGATCTGTGACTTGACATATTTGTTTGATGTTCTCTGTTGACCGGAGCATAGGTTATGGAAGATTGTATATACTACCAGTTAATGTTATTACTAATCTATGCACATAGCAGTAACATATTATCTGTGTTACCCAAAACAAATAAATTGACAAACGAAAGATGACAAAAAACTTATTTGCGATCAATAATAAATACAAAAGGGAAATTAAGGTCGGAGTGTGAATTATTTTATATATTATTAAGGAATTTAAACATGAATGAAGAAAAAATGGTGTAATGTGTGTGGTGGAGGGTTATGCTTTAATATAGATCCTATGAAAAACGTTTTAGTGCGTTTCATTTGCGGGACATGAAAAAATTTGATATTATTTAAAATCACAGGTAAATAAAATATATATCACTATGAATTGAAATAAAATTAAATAAATAAATTGAGGTGGGAAAGTCATAGTAACTTTTAAACAAATGTAGCATTTTAATAACTAGTTTTCTTGAATATATAATTTAAATGTAAATATACTGGACAATATTATATTCATAAATTAACACAGATTTTTGAATTTCAGGTCTGGTAAGAGCTAAAATGTCTGAGGACAATGGTGACATTGAATACTTGATTACTACACTTGGAGCTTTTTTACTGTTAGCATTAGTTTGTTGCATTTGTTGCTTCTGTATGAAACTCAGGTAAAATTTTTAGTATTGTATTTTTATAACCAAGTCAAATAATTTCCCATAAGACAAATCAACTCAGGGTGATTGGTATATTTTGTTTCTGTATATTCTGTTTTCCACTATAAAACACTTAAAAAAATTATATAAATATACACATGGTTTCTAGCATAATAAAATTGAACATTCATAGATACTTTGACATTACAGTGATATGAAGCTGAGGAACTATATTTTGGAACTAGCAAAAAAGAGGAATGTCAATGTAGATCTTGAAAAATTAAAACCAAGCAACACAGCTTGCCAGTCTCCATATGCCAATGAAAATTGTACAATTGTTGTACCCGATGTTGCTATTGTGCTATAAATAAGCTGAGAGCTGGGGTGGTAATCCTCATCTAAGTGAGATTGAATTTGGATCAAGATGATTTGAAAAATATGTCAGACATATTGCTCTACTTATGTTGAAAATTGTCTCTCATATAATGCCAGTTTTGGGGCCAATGACACGATGGGCAAAGCATTTGCTCCATTTATATAAAGAAATTAATTTTTTTACTGATCTCCAGAATCTCTTCTTACAATTCTTTGTAAGGCAGTAGTGATAGATAGCTGAATTAAAAAAAAGTATGCTACACACAGATGGTAGAACAATATTAAGATTTTAAAACATGGGAGGAGGAAGAGTTCTGGTTTGTCTCCGTAAATTTGGTGCCCTAGTGATGTTAATACTGGTGTTGCATGCAGTATCATGTCTATATAGGTTAACTACTTTTGGTGGCTATTCTATTGTCCAAGCTATATTTTTGGTATAATCAAGTAAATAGTATGTAAGTATTGGCCTTGAATTTTTTTTTATTTAACATTTCTTGTGGTAGATAAAAAGGCCTTAAAATTACTTTTTGCCGGCTTAGACATGTAATTTAAAAGATCTTTTTGAATTACGATGTAATAAATAAGAAACACATTTACCGCTAAGTGATAATGTTTAATATATACATATTTGAAGATTCAAAGTAACTGTTTTTAAGTGAGGTAAACTGTTAATTTAACGCTGTTAGTATCTTGCGTTCCTATATCTGACTGTCTCTATATTGTTCAATTAAAATGTCAATTTAAATGATGTTGACAAAAGAGAGATTTTTTTTTATTTATCATTCTTCAAAATAACTTACTGAAATTTTGTTTGGCATTATAAATTAAGGTAAGTTGTGCCTTACTGCGGCCATAAAAAGATCTATCTATATGTCTATAATCTGTGTCAAACTATTTTGTATGAGAGAAGTAGAATATGTATTTCTATTATAATTGATACATTTTCTGAAAGTGTAATTAAAGTTTTACCTTTATAAGAGCGTACATTCCAATATTATTAATAGTCTTAAGATGTATTCATACTGGCGCCAATATTGTAACCTAGTTTGCTTTCTATTCATAGGCATTACATAGTAACAGAGTGTAAAGTTTTTTTTATTTATTGGGAATGTATTAAAGTATTACACACACTTATTTTTATTTTAAAAACTATTGTTTGTTGGTATTTAATATTACTTTACAGAATAGTTGATATTTGGTAAGGCAAGCACAAAAAATTATGTTAGTATTATTCTCTTCTCAACTGTTCCGGTAATGATAGCTTTGTTGCAATCTGCATTCGATGTAACTGTGACTGATTTTCATTTTATATAATCTCAAGTGTGTTACAGTATTTAGGAAATCTCAATTGTATACTCGCAAAAGTTTGGCAAAAAGACACGATTGTGATTGTATTCTAGTCCACGTAGTTCTAATAAGTTAAAAAAGCTTGGTAGAAATAGGCATTTTCGAAAATGTATTCATGAAAAAAATAATATTCATTGACTTTTTCAAATTGCCTATTTCGTCTTTTTGCCAAGTTGTAGTAATAGGATAACTGTGTACGTGTTCAGAATATTTTTTAAATAAAATAAATTGGAAATATTGTGCATATTTTTTATTATATGGTTTTATTCGAACTTTGAGATTGTTTGATCAATACGAGTGTACGTCTGGAGTTCAATATTTACGATATTTGACGTAAGGTTTAATGAATTTATTACAAACGAATTATATTTAAAAAAATACTTTCGACAGCTTGGTTGCAAAGGCGATATTTGTTTGTTATCACGATACGATTTTTGACGTCTAAAATCGGCTATGCTGACGAGGACTTGTTCATCATATTTAGTACTTTTTTTATATTAAATAATACAGAGTTAGTGTTTCGGCCGTCGTGTTTGAGAAATGGTTCCCGACTTATTATCAGAGTTTTGAATGTAAACCCTTAAAACTTTTATAGGAAATTATAAGCAGATCTTACCTGCATAAAATAAAGAGTCACGATGAGGGTTCCTTATTTTGTCAGAAATACGGAGACCTCATAATAGAAACGTTGGGGTGGATGTAAAGTTCATACAGCCCATAACACGGCCTTGTGACATATTTATGATCCCCGTACCCCATAAAAACAGTATGAAACAACACTAATTTAGGTTTGTAGTTGCTCTAAGACTTTTATGGTAGGATCAATCTGCTATGAAATTTTTCACGAAGAAGAGAATTCTTATGGTGGAAAGCTGTAAGTGATTCTTAGGAAGGTGGGTAACATAATAATTAACATACTTTCTACTTAGTAAGCTCTATCGTCTTAATAAAAAAAAATCATACACACCTAATGTTATAGTTTTGTTTCACATACACATATACATAAAGTTTGAACTATTTTATAAAAATCCTTGCTGTATAAAATATAGGTTCGTTGTAATAATGATAACTATATCTATCACATATATTACCTATTGACAAAAAATAATGTAGCGTCAATTATGAAATTTAAAAACAATCTGATTTCAAAAGCTACCATTATAAATGCACACGTGCAGGCTTCTAGGAAATGGAGATTATAAAAAAAAGGTATCGGTATATAGGTATCGGTTACAACTTCGGTAACAAAACTCGCCCACACTATACGTTGCGCCACTAAAAGCCTCCATTTAATCACTCCTACGTAGAAAAACTAATAAATTAGTTGGCGCTGGAAATATGGACATTGAGATTATTATGCGGTAGTAAAAAAGCCATACCTTTTTCCTTCATTAGACGCTTTTACAGTTTTTGCTTCAATTAATTTAGTCTTCGCGGTTTCGCCCATTTAACGAGCTCTTAGAGATTATAAAGTGTTTGAATTATTATAGATTAATGTTTTAGGTATAATTAAGGCCGCTAGAGACGGAGTGGTTTTTTAATAAGGAGGAAAATAATAACAAATAATTAGCTTAGCCATAAAATTGTACTATTATTTGTGTAAGAATTATGTTAACAATTTTCGGTCACTGTGCTGTTATAGATTAACATTTTAGACTAAAAAAAATTTAAATAAATCAAGTCATAAGCAGTTAAGCTACCTGCCTCTAGCGATCTTGAATTTGTCCATGTAACATATTTTTCATTAGATTTTTATAACGTTGACATATTCTCATCAAAGTTATTAATCGTCTGAGGGTAGGAAATTATTCGCACGTTAGCCACAGAATACTAATGTTCTGTTTACGGAGTTTCGTTGCTTATGAATTCTCCTCTCGCCCAATAACACTCACATTCTTTGGGAATGTGATTAAATCTTTGGAATAAAGGAGATTATTATATTTTTAACCACTCAATATATACTTTCTCTTCGTAATTTTTTTTAAAGAAAATATTATCCTGGTACCTGGGATCAAAGTTACTACTTAGGGCATATAATTTTATTGTCCAAACCGAATATACTTTTAAATATTAATGTTTATTTAGGTAGAATAGGTTTATAATGAAAAAAAAATAAATAAATAAATAAATCTCGTGTCACCCTCGTGTCAATGCCTATATATGAGGCTGCCAGAAGCTGTAAGGTCTAATAAAAAAAACCGGTTTTTCAATAAGAAGGAAAATAAAAATGCACAAATAAATATAGAAAAAATGAATCCGTACTATTATTTGTGTAACAATTATGTTAAAAATTTTTGGTCACTGTGCTTTTGTAGATTAATATTTTTTAGCCTATGAAAATATATAAAACTCAAGTCAATAATTGCAGTTAGGCTATTCTGACCCTAGCGGCCTGATATAATAGGGACATAAATGAAGACATCTTAGGTTATGTTGAAACTAAAAAATCGCTGTCTGTATATTATGCCTTCGCAAAAGCGAAGAGATCTGCTAGACAATATAGTGTATAACGTAATTAGATTATGGAGGGCATTGAATGAGTGCTAATTGTATTTGGTTCGAAGTGGCGTTAACGTTCACGACTCGAATTAGCGGCCCCGTTAACATCTGCACGCTGATTTATGTCCCACTGAGATTCGGCTCATTGAACTAATGGAGTCCAAGTCATAAGCGACAGCGGGTGACTTTTCTTAGGCAACCAATCGACGTCAACACACCTTAAATTTTGTGGAGAAGAAAGAGATATTTTACTGTATTTTCGTGTTATTATTGTAACAAAACGTTTTAATCGATTTTATGTAAGACAAACCTGCCTAATAAGCACCTAAGCTTCACTACATAGTATAAAACAAGGTCTCTGTTAAATCTTTAAAACTACGCAACTTGTTTTGATGTGGTTTTTTATACAATATTCAAAGTGTTTTTGTAGTATTTTTAGTATCAGAATTGACCCCGAGCGAAACCGCGGCGAGTCGTTAGTAGATACATAAATAACAATAAATTCACCATCAATCTCAATCCAAAACTCCCGTTCTCGGATCGGTCTAAAATACTAAGAAATTCAACTTTTTTTTGCAATATAAAATCGATGAATAGACAAGTTACCCTTAAGCCATACAACCAGTGCCCTACATAGCGAAATCATTTTCAGTTAACTCGAGGTAGAGGGCTGTAAAAATACATCGCTTTGCCAGTGGTTCACTCTTTTAGCGATCTCCTGTTCATTTAGTATTACTATTAAACATGGAAAAGGTCAAATCTTGTTAGCACTCGTCGCTAATTGGGCTGTAGAAATCAGTTCAAGTTAAAAATAGATGTAATTTTAAAATTTATGAAAGATATGAAATGGAAAAGTTACGTTCGTTCAATTAAGCAGAAAATGTTTCATGAAATCAACGTGCCGCTTATGACATTTAGAAAATTGTTTTTGAAGTTCTGAAAAAATTAACAGCAGGCATCTGAACTATTTCAGAATCTTTCATAGCATATTAAATTCGGTCTAATGAATAAATATTATAATGATTGTGTTAACCTATTAATGCCTTAACCTTAATACCTTATTTTTTATTCTTATTATAAAATACTAGAATAACTTTAAATAGATAAAATACTAGTCTACTTTAAATTGAACATTTTTCATTTATC